GCCTCCCTAGGCATTGCATGGCCACTTTAGGCTTGAATATTGTATGGTGTGGGGATCCATAAAGGTCTTATATAAGTCTACAAGGGTTCAGCCCTACATTTGAAAAAGGGTAGGCTGAATTCACTACCTAAAGGTATTGAATCCCTGACCCAATCAACTTGGACTCATTGGGCCCAACATTTAAATATAAATGATCATTGGATCCAACCACCCTATGAAGATCCAAGAATGGTGGATTTATGTAAGATGAAGCCCATTAAGTTATCAGTCTTGTGATGATCTCTTGCCCTTTTATCTCTTAGATCATCATAACACTATTTATAATTGCAAAATGAAATGTCACACTCCATGCTTAGATAAATCACAAGATTAAAACCTTTTGAAAACCCTTTCCAACAAATAATAATATAATAAATACATTTTGTAAATCAGATTTTAAATATAATTAAAATCTCCTATCAACAGTTTAGGTTTTCATTAGAGAGAGTGTTAACCCCGACATTCATTTTGTTTGACAAAGGGGCTGATTACGATCACTCACTCAGTAATTTCCCAAACTGCTCCAAAATGCCAAAATATTTGATCCTTGATGAATCTCATTAGTTGGCATATCAAAAGCAGCTCAGTCTAAGACCTAGTGCAATATCATAATCAAGTTTAGGGTTAAGTGCAACTTTCCAATTTTGCCCATCTATCTATAAGGCTCGGGACATAATTGAAAAATGGGTTAGGTTCAATGTTTCTTCCAAACACCCACTAACTATGCTTGGGGTCTAACCCTAGCAATTGAAACAAACTGCTTCACCAATTCAGCAATACGTCAATGCTAGCCTTGTTAGGATAAAACTCCCAAAGTCTATTCATTGGTTGAGAAATTTTATACTAATACAAGTTTCTTAAGTGTTTGATTTAAGGAGTAATTCACAAAAAATACATCAATTGAACATAAAACAATAATGTACTTATATTACTCATATTGAAATGTCTATGTATATTAATGTGATTAGAGCTAAGGGCATCCACTGTTTAACACCTTTGGGTCCAAAGTCTCTTAGATTTTGGGATTAGCCTACATATAACTTCTTCACCAAAGGATATGGCTTGTAGAGCTTCATTAACAGCAAGCCCTCATAGACCTTTAGGTTTGGGGTCTCTAGGTCCAGAGCTTCATAAACTTTTGAGCCCAAGGTCTCTTGGATTTAGGGATTTACCTACAAAAAATTTCTTCACCAAGGACATGACATGTAGAGCTTCATTAATATGTAGCAAACCCTTGTAGACCTTTGAGTTTAGGGTTTCTAGGTCCAGAGAGCTTCATTGACATTCGAAGTTGAAGCTTCTTGGATGTAGGGATTAGTGTGCATAGAGCTTTTGTCACAAGAGGACTCTAAAACTTCCCCACTAAAGTTTCTAGCAATATAAGCAATCAAGCAGGCACCCTCATTTCTTCTCTTGGCATCAAAATTAATCTTAATCGTTATTTCTTTTGGAACTCTCCAAAATACGGCTTTCCAACTTCTTGATTTATTCATGTTATTATCCATAACTAGACCAAATTTACTTCCCTATATAAGGCTTGGGACTTTTCAATACCAAAGGGGAAAAGGATCTATTGTTAAACACTTTCTCATTTCTATTTGTCCATAAAATCCAAAGAGTAAAGCTATATTTCTCATAGGGCACTTGTTCCCCTCCAATTGCACCATTATGCAAATTACACCACCAATCCTCAATAGAAGAGCCACAAAATCCTTGCCCCATGATTGAAGGATTAAAAATTTGCTAAGCTTGAACCGCAAGAGTGCACCTTAGAAAAATATGCTCACTATCCTCTTCCACACTACAAAAAACTACAAGAGCCATCAATGGGAAGCCCTCTAGAAATAAGCATTGATTTGTGGGGAGGCGATTATTTAAAAATAAATACAGAAATGTCTTTAATCTTATGGGTAACTTAGGACCCCAAATCTTACTTAGAACCTGATTTATTCCTCCTATGCCTCTTGCTATGCAGCAAGCTTCTTTGTAGGTCGATTTAATGGTGAAATTTCCCTTGGAAGGCCATAACTTTGTACTTTGATGTCTGATTAGGGTGATCTTTTTTTTTTTTTTCTGATTTGGATAAGTTTTCGAGATTTATACATCCCAAGGTGCCACAAGCATCTTGCCCCACTATTTTTGCAAAAAAAAAAATCCCTTTTTGACCTCAAGTTGCAATTTTTTTATATTTTTATAAATAAAAAATTTTAAAACTAAATTAAATGCAAAATAATACATATATTATTGAAGGGATGAGAGATCCATCATATGGATGGCCAAACCTTGCAGGTAGGTTGGGCGAAATTTCAAAAATTTCTCTCTCCCATCTGGGAATCACATTCCCTATTTTAGAAAAACTGCATTTTTCAAGGATCAATCTTGAACCAAGAACCAAACCAGATCTGAACCAAAATAGTAGGAGAGAGATATACCTGATACGAAGAAACAATATCCTCCAATGAAGGTGTTCACGCCCAAAGAAGTCTCCAAAGACTGCTCCCACTAAAGATGACACAATGTAGGGTGGAGCAGAATCAGCAGTGTTCTTCATAAGAACCGAATCCTTCAGCAAGAATTCGATGGAGGTTGTGAGCACGACTTCAGATCAGCCTTTCTCTAAAGACTGATATCAAGAACAATTTTTGATTGCTCCTACAAAATTGGAGATCGAATTGGCAGTAGGCGGCAACTGGAGGAGAACGCAGGGAGAAAATGGTGCAGTCACACTGTTGTTGTCTTCTCTCTGTGTGATCTGAGATCTAATCTTTGGGATGCTGGGATGTGATGTGATGAACTGAATGGTTCGCCCCCTCCTCCTTTTATAGACTTAAAGAGATCAACTCCTAATCCCATTAGGAGTTTCTTGATTCAAATCCTTATTTGAATCTGGACTCTCTTTAAGTGATAAGGATAAATCCTTATCTTATCTGTAGATTAGATCAACTCTCTCCTAATATCATCAGGAGGTTTCAAGATCCAAATTCAGATATGGACTCTCTAAGTGGATAGGGAGTTATCCCTATCCTATCTACTGATCCAATCCTAGATCCGCCCCTCTCTTTAATTAGTCTAACTAAACTAGTTCAAAATGGGCTTTAGGCCCAATAAGTCTATATGCTCATTAACCTTCCCAATTGTTGCCAGTTTGGCTTCTTTGTATGGCGTGGGACCCAAACATTGATCTACACATAAACCACATGAGTTTAGCCCAACCTTTATTACAAGGCCTAGCCGAATTCACTGAAAAGACAGTGAACCCCTTGAATCCCATCACATGGGCTCTTAATGAGCCCAATACTCACACTAAGTGGTCCCTGGGCCAAGCCACCTTATAAAAACCTAGGGACTATGGGTAGATGCAAGATTCGCTCATCAAGTATTACCCTTAATGGTCTTACACTTAACCTCTCAGCCCATAATGATCAAACACTGTCCGACAAGAGATGACCTCTCCCTCGGCTGCAAGGAATAGTATTGCACTCTCTACTCACATAAATCCCGGGAATTAAAACCTTTTGCAAACATTTTGAAACCATATATATTCGTATATAAATATATTTTGCAAAACAAATTTCAACGATTGAAATCGGCTGCCGGCAGCTTTGGTTTCCATTAAAGAGAGTGCATCCCTGATCATTACCTTTGTCCGACAAAGGGGCTGATCCTGTCACTATGATCACCCACTCAGATGAATTTTCGGACTGTCCCAACATATCCAGTTTTTGACCCCTGCTAAGGATCTCACTGAGTGACATATCAAAGACAGTCCAATCCGACACCTAGTGCAGTATCATAATCGAGTTTAGGGGTCAGGTGTAACTTTCTAGTTTTGCCCATTAATCACCAAGGTCCAGGGCAATACTAGAAATCTGGTCCGGTTTAGGGTTTCAAGTAAACCTACACTGCATGTACCTCGGGTCTCACCCTAGCAGCTGAGACAGACTACCCCAACACTTGGTGGCACACCAGTGTTAGCCTTGGTAAGATAAATCTCCCCAAACTTATCCAACAGCTGTGAATATTCTAAACTAACACGAGTCTCATATATGTCCAATTTAAGGGTATTACACAGAAACACACTACTATTACATGAATTAAATATGTACTTTATTTATTTACAATAAATGTCATAATGTACATCAATCTGATTGGAGCTAAGGGCATACACTGTTTAACAATTATATGTAAAACATAATTATACACTATTTATTGATAAAATATATACTTTTACATATATAATGCTAGGACCCCAAGTTAAACTGATGACCGGTGATTTGAAGGCAAAAGCGGATCAGCCTTTGGATCGACTCTAGGATAGTGTGATAACCTCAAGGCTAAAACAACAAGCATGTTAAACAAGACAAAAACTAGCGTGTGAAATAAACACTGTTCACATTATATGATGTGATCTATGACAACACACCCCTAGGCTATGTTTGGTTTGAAGGAAAATGTAAAGAAACAAAGGAAAAAGTAGAAAAACCTTTACAACCTTGTATTGATTTCTCTGCCTTTTCCTTCAAACCAAACATAGCCTTAATTAACATCCATCCCTTAGCTAACCTCATCGAGACGCTTGTAAGACTCAAATAAAAAATAAAAACAGTAATTTTCATAATTGTAGTATTGGACAATGCAATATAACTGGTACTTGGTAGTCTCTATAATGGTCGTGGTCAACCGTAACTATTGTAAGTTGTAACACGGTAACACCTTGTAGTGTAGCTTTCTCCCACAATTGATTAGTTATAAATTAATATGATTTGGATAAATTCTCTCGTCATTTTTTCTCCTCTAACTGCCAAAATATGTCTTTGCATCATATTCGTGGTGGACGTTCAAAGTAAATCCAATAATGGGATTAAAATTTACGTCCAAATCCAATCCGATTAACTTGATGGATGTCCAAATCCATTTTAATCGAATTGAATCCAGATCGGGTTGGAGTCATATCCGGTACATTGACAGCCCTATACGCACGCGTACACACGCACACAAAAGATCTAACATTTGCAGAAAAAGATCAAGGTATTGAATACATAAAAGAAGAAAAAAACAACATTCAACAGCTAAGACTCCCTTTGTTTACAATTTTAACCATATAATTAATCAGAGGATACAAAGAAACTTAGAGCCGTTGCTCTGGCTCCAGATAATCTGAACAACCTTTCTTCAATCTAATGATGTGAAGTATTTCGTATTTACTACCAGCACTTCTGGACTTCAGGTTTCATGCATCATTGAACTGCTTTCAAAAGGAAAGGATAGGGAACTCTTATCCTGCTTAAAAGTATTTCTTGAGAGTCAGCGGGGGAGTAACATAGTTCCAATATCCAAAAAGGAAGAACCCACCTTTTGGAAAAACTTCTTCCATGGTTAATGGATTTAAGAACCTGCACATGATCAAACATATTTTGAAGGTAAAAATTAACATAAAGGTGGAGAAATAAGGATAGCTAACTTGGATCATTTAGAAAAACAAACAGGTTTAGCTCCATAGATGCTTAGGTATTATTCCATGATTTCACAAAGCTTATACAGTTTTAGGTTATTGCATATAACGATAAAACCGTGCCTTGAGCTTGTATCAGTTGGATGAACTTTGTGCTCAGAGACCATCTTGATACATATTTGGGAACAAAATAACAAAAAGAAAGAAAGTTCTTGAAATCCTAAGTAGTGAGTTTACAAGGTTATAGACACAATACCTCTAAAGCTGAATTCTGAATAATCAATTTTTAGATGCACTAAGTTGCATAGAGTAAAAATGGCACTGCAAGAAGAATACGACACTTCAAAATGGTTGTTAACTAAATAAAAAGCTCATCATAAACATGTGCATAGTCAAATTCTTCTCATTTTATGTTATCTACATCAAGCATATATCCTCCATAAGAGTGGGAAAATTAAAATTAGTCCTTAAAAAACAACCTGGCATAAGCTAAGATGGTAAAAGCAGAATAAAAGAACTCACTTTCAAGTAGACTATGAAAACAGGATATCAGTGCAAAAGCCATATATATGAGTGGGAAAATTAAATTAGTCCTCAAAAAACAACCTGGCCTAAGCTGAAATGGTAAAAGCAGAATAAAAGAACTCGCTTTTAAGTAGGCTTTGAAAACAGGATATCAGTGAAAAAGCCATATAAAGGCTGCCTGTGCAAAGAAACAGGGAAAACTAATTGATAGTCTACATGTAGGTCTATTGTAGATGAACTAAACCTGCTAGATGATTATCCTTGGAACTTATTTCCATTCAAGTCTCTATTGCTATAGTCATCATTACAGGCCAACTCTGGAGTAGGAAGAGGAATTCCTCAGTTGCTACCCATACCCATTGGGATAGTAGGTATGATCAACCCCCTGATCATGGATTACATTTATTACGTCAACAGAATCTCTTTTACAGGTTCACGTATGTTGCATATTCCATCTTGCATCTTTGAAAGAAATTAAGGAGCCTAATTTAGTGTTTTTCTCTGTTTCAGATTAAGTGGCCCAAGTATAACATCTACTACACCAGTAAAGATGTCATCTATTACAAGTAGAGGCTGTATATGTCAAACACTGGCAAAGTACTTCGATAAACCATTTTCTTGTAACAAGATAAACAAAAGAGCCAGATTTTATTTAATAATTGAAAACTTGCTATTAGAAACAACTAATGTAAATATATTGGCAATTTCATCATAAAAGGAGTGATTGAAATCCAGGTGGGAAGAATCATTTCATTCCCATAGTAATTGAATAGTGATAACTAGAAGTTAACAGAGAATATAAGAAATGAAATGAGCTCAATCTTAAACTTCTTGAAAGATATTACTCCACTTCCATCAAGGGTCCTGTAATCCATTTTAAATTATGAGATTATATTGAAATTGCAATTAAAAAACAATCAACAAAATAATTCCACCCTAAAGGTCTGATAAGGTAATGCAAATTCCAGATGAAAAGATGAACAATAAACTGCCAACATGTTATCACATCATGAACACTTCTTGGAAACTAGTACAAGATGTTCAACTTGGCATCTTCAAAACCTGAACTTGGCATAACAACATAGAAGTTCATCACAAAATGTAAATATGAAACCGTGTCCAACACTGCCAATTTCCAGAAAATAGTGCCAGTGGTAAACAAACATATTTCGACAAGACATCCAGGTAGATATCTAATATAAAAACAAAGCCCTCAGACAGGAGGGCCGTCAAGGCTAGTCCTCCACTCAGGAAAAAGGGGCTAAACAAAAAGAAAATAAAAAACCCAGAACAAAGGCATCTGAGATGTTACATTCTAGATAAAGTGTGTTGTCTAATAATAGATCAAACCTAATAGTCTCCCAAATCAAATAAAAAACCCAGCCTATGCTTGGTGATAAACTTAGGGTGGTAGGGAAGTATGGGGTGGTGAGATTTGGGTGGAACCAAGGGAGACCTCCAACTCCTAATGGGGTGAGTGTTTGGAAGGGTATAATGAGCTTTAATGAAGATTCAGAGGCCTGGTTAGTTCTAATGTAGGATATGGATCCAGAGTGAGGTTCTGGGAGGATGATTGGAGTGGGGTTGGGAAGTTGTGTGAATTGTGCCCAAGATTGTATAGGCTGACTGATCATCAGGTCTCTGTGGCCCAGTGTTATGAAGTCAATGGTGATCAGGTGGTTTGGAGTCCTAAGTCTAGAAGACCTCTGCGTGACCAAGAGTTGGAGGAATGTATTCTCTTGGTAGACAAATTGGAGCAAACCAGAATCTCTACAACTAGTGAAGATGGCCTGTGGGGGAAGGAATGCAGAAATGGAAAATTCACAGTGAAATCATTTTACATGGCTCTCATCAAGGACAGTGTAATCAATAACCAAATAAGTGGAATATGGGGAAATCCAGTACCCCCATGAATTGAAGCTTTTGCTTGGCTGGCTGCAATGGATAGTGTTCTCACAACAGATCATCTAAAAAGTAGAGGGATCTGTATGGCCAACTATTGCTAGATGTGCAAGTCAGATGAGGAAATTGTGTTCCATTTGTTCTTCTCCTACCACTTAGCAAATTCTATTCCTCCCTCTTAGGGATGCCCATCTTCCAGCCATCAACATCAGTAGAAATCTTTTCTACCTGGCCAAAGTTCAGAGGACGTTTGAGAGCTAAAATTGCCTGGAGCTGCATTACTGGCAAGCTCATCACAAGCTGGGTCATCTCTCGTCAAGAATTTGAGCAAATCAGTCCTACAGACTTTGCTGAGAATTTCTGGGACATCCTCGAGATTCAAACTTGTAATGTGAATCAGTTCAATCTCAACTGAAGTCTTGATGTATATTTGCATTGATTATGGGGTGTTATCTTGACAACTGAACAGCTTTTATTTTTAATAAATTTTTTTTCTTCTTTACACTTCAGAAAAAAAAAAGATAAATTTAGAGTGATAACATCCAATACAGAGCTAACTTTCCTATATGCAATGCACACTAATTTAGGGGGTCTAAATAATTCATTGCAATGGTAGATTGTCCATGACCCACCAATTAAAGTTAAGGCTGCAACTTTGGTGTGGCCTAATCTGAGATTTTGCATGGACTGGGCTTGAGTTTTCAGGACCCAGGCTGGGCCTGAGCCAGAAAACTTGAGCCTAACCTAAAATCAGGTTGGGCTGGGGTTAAGGCCTAGGGTAGCCTGAGTCTAAGCGCAATCCAAGACTGGCCTAACCCAACCTGAGCCCACTGATCTTGTATGACATACACACCTATGTAGATGTGTACATTATGTATTTATGGTACATACATATTTATGTACATTACATATTTATGTACATTACATATTTATGCTACACTGTTCAGTATATTTAGTTATTTATGATATGCATATGATTAGTCTAAACTCACACCCATGCACAAACATTTATAAATAAAGTTGTAAACACATATTATGCATTTTATTTTATATAAAAAAGATCTTTTTCTAATTATACTTATGCAATCATATATGTATAAAATCATTTCAAACCTTACAAACCCACACAAGCTGGATCTCAGCCAGAGTTATGTTGGGTTAAGCTCAGGTTGGGCCTTAGTTGACCCTCAACCTGACCCAGCCCACCCAAGTTGCGCCCCTAATAAAGTTGATGAGATGGGAATCTCTAGATTATACTTATGCAATCATATATGTATAAAATCGTTTCAAACCTTACAAACCCACACAAGCTGGAGCTCAGCCAGAGTTATGTTGGGTTAAGCTTAGGTTGGGCCTTAATTGACCCTCAACTTAACCCAATCCACCCAAGTTGCACCCCTAATAAAGTTGATGAGATGGGAATCTCTAGATCAGGAGGCTTCCATTGAAGATTTAAGAGTTTGGATACATAGTATACTTCCTCTTGTAATTTGTTTCTATAACTTTCTATTTTTTACTTGCCAAAGAGGGAAAGCCCACCTAGTTTTTTATTTTTATTTTTTAAGGGGGTGGAGGAAAAACAAAACTAATTCAGAAAAGATAGAAGGTTCTATATGAATATGTATTAACTTTTCATAATTATGCATGTCAAGAGTTAATTAATAAAGACTATGGCCGTACCAATTAAGAAAATAGTTAGCATTAGCACAAGTGTAAATTGGAGGGAACAACTAAGTTGCTGTTGTGTTCCTTGTAGTCGTCTTTGAAACTCACCAATCCATCCGCCCTGGTAAGACAAAAGGAATTGGTCATAAAAAGCATTTCTGTTTTAACAGGGGAATAATTAAATTGACATAAATCAAACATGGGAAGTTTGTTTTATTTGTGAATTAAAAAGAAACAAGGTAATGCCTTGAGTATGAGAATTCAGACTGACCTGATTAACCCAATTTATACCTCTCAAGTCTGTATAACTCAACACCCTTCCTTTTGCCTCGAGTTGCTCGCTACCCCTTTGCTTGCGAATAACATATTTGAACTCCTTTCCTTTAGTAGGAGATTCAACATTCTCCCTTGGTGTCTTCCTTTGCTCATCGTCATCAGCAATTGCAATCTTCCAATACCCAAAGTTTGGTGAACTCCATATTCTCCTATGATTATTAAATCTCTCTGCTTGTCGGTGCAAGTCATCCCTTTCTCTGGGAAATTCTTTATCTTCTAATTCTACTACATGCTTAGCATCCGTCTCTTCCTTAAAACCCTTTACATCATTGGGCATATCTATTTTGGACCCAGCCTCAATATCAAAGTTTGAAGATTTTCTTATTAGTTTGTTCCCCTGAAAAGAGCTATTGGTTGTTGAAGGTTTGAGGTCGATATGCAGCTCCTTCGTGCTCTGGGATGTTCCTGGAGTTCCAACAAGGAATGCTGCCAAATCGTCCCGTTCTTCTTCATCCAAGTTTACCCATCGAAGGGGTTGCTTTCCTTCCTCATCAAGTGATTCCCTCAAAGCATTTTCTACACGTGATATTTGGTCCTCCATTGCTTCAACAAATTGTCTATGCCTGGTTGTTGTATTGTCTTCAGAATGGTTCCCATCGCTCAATCTGACAGCCCTCTCAAACTCTTCCAACTGATTTAGGAATCACAATTCAATAGTGTAGAATTATTATGAAAAATAAATTCACCAGCTTAAAGGAATCAAGATCAAAGCAAAAAGACAAACTGGGTTTTTCTAATTGATCATCTACCTCGTTTGCTAATAACAATCAAAAAGTAACAAAGATGAGAAATAAACCCAGAAACCAACCTGCCATTTTGCGGTGCCTAAAGCGGTTTGAAGCTCCCTGCGTAGCTCGTTCAAGTCCTCACTTCCTACCCCTTCCCTTCTCTCTCGTAACCACTTCCTGTATACCGATTCCATTCTGAAATACCGATTTCAAAATACGAGAAAAGCTCAGTAGTTACAACCTGAATAAAAATGACTAAAAGATCTAGAACACAAGAGACCTAAACGAAACAATTAGAAGAAACCAAAACCCAGAAATCCAACTAAAAATTCTTACCACCCAAATTAAAAAAAAAAAAAAAACTGTAAAGCGAAATATTAAAAAGAAAAATAGTCAAACATACGTGTCTGCGGATTCCTGAACCTCCTCGGCCGCAGAGAAGAACGCATCCTTCTGCCAAAGATCAAAACTATTAGCGACCATCATCTTCACCGGGAAACCAACACCTCAAAACCCAGAAACAACCCAAGTCCGACCGAGCGCAACAAAACGTGTTAATATTCAAAATTACGAAGCTTGGACGGAATATCTTCTCTGTGCTTCCTTACAAAAGAAGGGAAACAAACAGCAGAAAACAAGGAGAAAGAGAGAGGCACAACAGAAGGAATTCACTCTAACCCTCTCTCTCTCTCTTCTTCCTTTTTCCCCCTTCTTTCTTGCTTCTGGGCTGGGAAAATCGAATAAAAACCTCCCAACAAGGAAAAGCGTCGGCGGTTGCAGAGAGAGAGAGAAAGAGAGGGAGGAGAGAGAGAGAGGACAAAAAATGAAGGGTGGGTTGCCCATTCACCACAGCTGTTGTCGATTGCGAATTTTGTCCTTGAGCCGCCAACTACTTTGGGTGGGACCCAGATTGCATTTCACTGATAAATTCCATAATTACAATATTACTAATGAGATTAAATTATTGCTAATTTTAATCGTGTCAAGATTAGGTCTAGGGTGATATACAAGAAAGGATTTTAGGGTTTTCTTAAAATAATGGCAGAATGGTGAAAGTGAGTGATGCCACGTAATATCCACCATCTTCACCTCAAACGAGACCAAATAAATAAACAATAATAGATAATAAATAAAGGAAACATTTTTGTTCTTGGTGGAAATCTTATGTGGCGGAGGAAATGCAAGGCTAATGATGTAGGAATATCTGGTCGACGTGCAGATATTGACATGTGGCATCCGTCAGTATGAGACAGGCTCATGTGACAAATTCTGACAATGTGGCAAAATGGTAATTCTCGCACCGTTTTGAAAATGAATAAACTCAAAAACAAAAATATATTGCTGATTATACTTGTATTGTAATTCTTTTTAATATACAGGTTTACATAAGTTTGTTTAATTCACTTTAGCAAAACTTAAATTAGCAGCCCTAAACCCAAAATAGGTGGATTGAAGAATTGATTTCCACTCTCAGATGTGGTCGGTGGGCCACAACTTTGAAGGAGCATGACAATCATTACTTTATAATAAAAATAAACAGCAAATCTTGTAATATCTTGCTCCTGTATGCCCAACTAACAACTGAATAAACTGAATAATAGGATTATATATATATATATATATATATATATATAATTCAAAGGGTGTTTTCTCCAAGCAAGTGGCGTCATATTTTCCTTAAGAAAGCTTATGAAAAATAGTATTTTTGTTATAAAATATACCAATTCATGGATGTTTATTGAAAAAATATTGTCACATCGTCACTACATAGTTGGTGTTTATTGTGTATAAAATCATTGTTTGATTTCAATGTTTATTAAATAAACACTAAAAAATATAAATACTTGGATTTATGTGCATGAGGCATTAGGGGAAATGTTAAATCTTTGTTTTTACAATGCCTAAGACTGTGTCTGGAAACGACGCAAATAAGTGTGAATGCAAATATGTAGAGTATAAAACGGTTCATAAAAATTGCAAATTGAGTTAGTTTTGCACTAACAAATTTGCATTCTTACCAAACAGGCTTTTAGTTGTAATGGATGCAAACATGAATTTCAATAAAGCATATGCTTTTTTTATCAAAAGCCCACTTGAATGCAAATTTACTTCTTTTTTTATTGATATATTTTTACATATTATTATCAATGTAAATATGCACTGGTCTGTCATTTGTCAATGCATAAATGTAATATTGTTGCCAACCATAAGCAAAAGTGAAACAAAGTGCAAATTTACCCTGAACCGGGATTTACACTCTATTTGCATTGTTTCAAATACAAACTTAATGTTTCTTGAAATGAAATGCTTATGTGCATACTTTATGGGGTGCTAATTTGAGGTGAAAAATAAGAAACATTTAAAGTTAGGCCCAACCAAACAACAAAAAACAAGAAATGTTTAAAGTAAAATTTTTCAAATAAATGTTTAAAACAATAAACACCACATCTATAAAACGCCCATAGAATCAAACACCTACCAAGTGGCATGGAGTTTTCTCTTCCTAAACCATATAGCACTTTCATACAAGGAGTTATTTCATCTTTATTACTAATTTCCTTAGTGGTTTGCTTTTTTATCACTAAATAAACATTATCATTATAAGAAAATAACAACTATAGAATATTGTTACAAAAAGTTAAGAGATTACCCTCCTAAAATAGTTCATGATCAAAAGACTTAGTCTCCCTGGCCATAGTATGGACAGGCATATTTAAAGATCTATTTACATATTTGACTTTAGAGAATTTAAGGTTTTCAAAAGAGAGATAAATTTTCTCCAACAAAAAAAAACATTGCCAAGATTTAGATTTCCTGCAGATAAAGCCACCACCGAAACTAAACTATCCATCAAAATAACCACAGACATTAAACCTCGCTCCTTCACAAATTCCAAAGCCTTCTAAATAGCCCATAGCTGTGCCTCAACTGGACTGACCTAAATCAAACATTTTTCTCTTGATGAAGCAAAAAATTCACCATTAGTATCATAACAGACAAATCCAAAAGATCCCTTAGATGAAGCAATTATACCCCCATCACAAAAAATAAAACAGAGGGTAGACTCGAATAATTTCTGGATTATGATATGCTTGCAGACGAGTCAGACTATTTAATCCTGCAAGAGAGGCAGAAACCAAGAAATCCATATAAACAGATTTAATTGTGATGGTCAAACATTCTAAACACTTCATTCTATCAAGCATAGAGTTGAACATAGTCAAAATTTCTAATATCAACTCGGAAGGAACATCATTGGATACAAGGTTCAAAGTATCGATATGTATCGGATTGTCTTGATCGATATGTATTGTGTTGATGACTTCCCGATACACCCCTATAGAGATTGTATCGGGTCAGATTATGGTTTAGAGGGTAACCGGGATTTAAACCGATTCCTGTTCTGAACTAGTTTTAAAATAAATTAAATAAAACATAAAAAAATACCAATACAGGCTGATCGATTTACTTTGAACCTTGACTGGATAAAACTTCAGTTCTGATACCCCATGGGCAAGAAAACCAAAATGCTTTTGCAATGGGGCACTTAAAGAATAAATGAGAAGAAGTTTCACTATGATTAGAACACATGACACACATAAAATTATTAGTAAAACCACGATTCTGGAGCATAGAGGCCACAAACACAAAATATCTCACCATTCTCCATAAGAAGAGCTTATATCTGGGACCAACTTTTAACCTCCAAAATTTCCTCAACAATCTTTCCACATTTAGTAGGGTTGTTCATAAGAAGACCCAACCCGACCAAACTGACCAACCCTGACCGATCCAATCCGAATCGGTCGGGTTTTTTCAGCACCGATCGGTTTCGGATTGTAAAAATTCAAAAACCGATGGTTCGGGTCGGTTTTGGTTTTCATATGTGAAAACCGAAACCGACCCGAACCGACCCGACTTAGTAGTTAGTAGTTAGTTCCTAGTTAGTATTTACAACCTACTTAGTTCCTACTTAACTAAGTTGTCTCTATACTAATTACAACCTAACTTAATTTCTAGTCTTCTAGTTAGGAATGACATTAATGGCAAGTATTGTAAGACAACTAGACAAAGAATCTTTTTGGAAAAGTTTAAAGAAAAGAATCATAGGATCCTAGTTTTTATGGCCTATTACACCAAATAGGCAACCAATTACAATTATAATTAGGTGTCATTTTTTACTTAGATTAAAAGGTTTCTTGAAATATACAAATTTCAGTCTTCTTTCTCTAATACAGTTTGACTTTCTATTTTCTTGATAACTTCTATTCTAACTTGGTCCGCCCCCTACCAATTCCAGTCTTCTTTCTTTAATAGAATTAGGTGTCATTTTTTACATCAAATTTCAGTCTTCTTTCTCCAATCTACTAATTTATTACTATGATAGAATTTATAGTCGAAACTGACCCAAACCTACCCAACCCAACTCAAACCGACTAGGTCGGTTTTGCTTAACACAAGGTCGATTTCGATTTCAATTTCAGGTAACCCGACCAAGTTGAGTCAGTTGAAAAAATCTTAATAAACCGACCCAACCCGACTTGTGAACAGCCCTAACATTCAGGTTCAGCCTAAAAGCTTTTCTCCAAATCGAGAGGTACACAGTCTTAACTGTAAGATCTCCATTTATAGATTGGGTCCAGATAAAATGCCTATCTTGAGGTTTTCTGAAAATGTGAGTCTCCCTCACGTAATGAACCCATCCCTCTCCCAATATTTGGGAGATTCTATCAGAATTTCACCCTCCAAATAATCAGATCATTAAAACCAACATTTCTAAATCGATTTTCCATAGGCCCCATAGGAGCCATATAAACAAACTCAACTTGAACCCACGGGACATTTCATATGTTAATATGAACCCCATCAATGACTACAAATCAAATGAGATTTTAAAGATGAAAGTGACTTGAAAATAGATTTCCAAATTCGAGAACTTTTATATTTTAATCTGGAAACAAGACATGAGCATTTAAATACTTGCTTCTCAAAAGTCTAACCCATAATCTCTGATCTTGATTCAAAAAAAAAAAAAAAAAAAAAAACTAGGCCAACTTCATTTGAAATGAAACTTTTCTTAGACCAAGACCACCATAGGATTTAGGAGAACAAATTAAATCCCAATTAGTCCAAGCAAAACCATTATTATTATTCTTCCCAAAATTCCACCAAAACTTCCTTTGAATCTTATCAAACTTATCATTTAATCCATTAGGAAGCTGGATCATTGACATGACATGATTAGGTATAGATTGAAGAGTAGACTTATGTTTGGTTTGAAGGAAAAGGTAGGGAAAAGAAAAGAAAGGGAGGAAAACCTTTACATACCTTATATAGATTTTCTTATCTTTCCTTTCCTTTTCCTTCAAACCAAACATGCCTAAAAGAACTAATTTACCAGCCTAGGACAAATTAACTGATTTCTAACCATTCAATTTAGCCTAGAACTTATCTAAGAGATAAGAAAGAAAGGCATGCATGCTTTTATTCTAGAACAAAGGGATCCCCAAATACTTTGCCTGGAAATCTAATTCCCCATTCTCAATTTTCGGCAAAACAACGTTCAACACAATGATGGACATTACGATTAAAGAAGACCCCTGACTTAAGGCAATTAATAGCTTGGCTAGACTGAGCTTGAAATTGATCTATAATATTCAAAAGATTAGCCATCTCTTCCGTAGAACCTTTAACAAAGAGAAAGACATCATCAACAAAGATGGGAGATATCTACCTGTTCGTTCCTCTCTTTCTAAAAGTCTAGTTAAAATCTCCATTCCGAAGATAAATAAGGAGAGAGAGGGTCACCTTGCCTCAATCCTCGAG